CAGGCGGCCCTCCGCGTCGCGCCCGGACCGCTCCCTCCTCCGCCCCGAGCCGCGCTAGGCCGCGGGCCCTAAACCCCGAAAGGAGAAAAAGCCGCTCACCGCCCCTTTGCCGCGGCTCCCCTCTTCCGGATGAGCTCGTCTAAGGAGATGTCCGCCATCTTGCACCTCGGAGCCGCTTGGATTCCCTCACCCCCTCGAGCCCGCCCCTTAAGCGGCTGCGGAGGAGCTGTTTCCGGCGTTCTGTCGAAGAATTCTCGCGACAGCTCAAATCAGGCAAGAACCGGAAGGGGCGGGGCGCTCCCCGTGAGCCTTAGTGGCGCTGGCTGCTTATCTGCATACGAAGTGTGCCGGGGCGGGGGGTCATTATCATTCTCTAGTCTCCCCCGGACAAATAAAAAGAAAAGCGACGTAAAACCTTAACTAGTATTAAGCTCAACTTCAAAGGAGTGGGAAACTCAATTCAACGGTACACTTTGATACTCACCGTAGCACTAATGAGATTAAGATTCATTATGTAGAGAGTCACGAAAGCGCCCCTTCATGCCTTAAACTTATGAGTAAGGAAAATAACGATTCGGGGTGACGCCCGAATCCTCACTGCTAATGTGAGACGAATTTTTGCGCGGGTAAAGGTCGCCCCTAAGGTGACCCGCCTACTTTGCGGGATGCCTGGGTGCCGCGATCTGCCCGACCCCCCCTTGCTGCAAAAACAGGCCGGTTCTAAGGAAGAAAAGCCCCGCAGATACGCGTGTTGCCAAGAACCGGGTCGCACGTAACCGCGGTGGGGGGACCTGGCAGTGGCGTCGCTTTCTGCTCTCGGGGTGCCCCTTTCCTCGGGTGTCACGAAGCTGTCAATACTTAATTACTGTCCTTACGGCTCGTGAACGTGAAGTTGACCATCTTAGCCCGTCCTTACGGTCGAGAAATAAAGGTAAGCTAAGCGCCGCTTCCCGCGCCGCTGTGTGGCCTAAAATGCAGAGCTCAGGGGGGTGAGAAGAGGGCCGCCAGGAGCCACCCCTGGGCCTCCAGGAGCTAACAGCTGTCCCTCTCGTCCCCGTCTTCCTAATCTGTAAAAGGGGGCAAATGACACAGGTCGTTGCCAGGGTTACACAGGCTGATTCATTAGCGTTCCTTACGTGGGGTTGTCTTGGTGCCACCCCCGCCTCCCGCACCGAGCTTGACCTGTTTGTAGAATCAATAAAAAAATGCGTGTGCCAGGCAGGGTGTGGCTCAGCGGAGCATCGACCTGGGATCCAGGAGATCGCGGTTCCATTCCCGGTCAGGGCACATGCCAGGGGTTGCGGGTTCAATCCCCAGTCGGGGGCGTGCAGGAGGCAGCCGATCAATGACTCTCTCATCATTGATGTTCCTATCTTCCCCTCTCCCTTCCTCTCTCTGAAATCAATAAAGATATATTAAGAAACAAAACCAAAAAAACATCGGGCAACGTCTTTANCTCTCCCTTCCTCTCTCTGAAATCAATAAAGATATATTAAAAAACAAAACCAAAAAAACATCGGGCAACGTCTTTAAAAAAAGCGCCGAGCATGAACTTAGTGCTCTGGGTTGTATGACATTTTCTTAGGCCAACACTGCCAGTGGCCTCCTTTCAAAACAGAATTATTAAGGTGACAGAACATCAGGTTTTTTAACACTACAGTTAAAAACCTGGCATCAGAAGCTCCATGGAAAAACTGGGCAAGAGCTGGTAAAGAAAGCCAGAGGGTTTGGGGTTGGGCACCCAACAGAGGGGAGTCCAGGTCCCACCTGGGCGCGGGGATTGGGCGCTGGCCGGCTCTTCTCAGCTGCGAAGGGCGACCCCATCCCCTCCCTCCCAGGGGTGCGGGAGGAGCGCTGGGCCTCTCCCGGAAGAAAAGCGGCCTCGGTTCCGGCTCAGCTGGACTGGGGCGGGCAGGTGCAGAGGCGGGAACCGCTGGGCACCGGAGTTAAAGCCCTGTAGGACCTCAAGTGAAATGTAAACAAGTCGCTTCAGTGATTTTTTTTTTTAAGCCAGCACAATAAGGTCATTAACTGAAATCAGCTTATTCTGGGATTCTCAGCTGAGTGGCCTTCCCTCGGGCATTTCTGAGCTTTGTGGGGTCAGGTTTGGTTGTCTAGATCCAGTCACGTGGACAGTCTTCTATCCCCAGTGACATTCTCTGAGCCAGGCTTCACTCCATGTCTTGTATGACCACGCAGGACTTTTTGTCCAGTGTGAAAAAACATGAAATTGCCAGTAATGGCAGCTGAGTGGTAGCCAAAGGATTGGGTCCTGCTTTGTTTGGAAATTGACCAAGAATTGTGCCCCGCCCGGGAAAAGTTGGCCGGGATCAGCAGAGCCCCTGGAGCCTGAGAGCCCGGCTGCATTTGGGGCTGTGACAGTTCAGGGACCTGGCAAACCCTTGTCCTACACCCCTTCTTGGGAGACTTGGGCAGTATCTACATGCCAGAATATGCATCATTTTATAAATTCCTTTGTTTCTTGCTCTTATAATTAGAGCGCATGCATGCGTGTGTATGTGTTTAGATTGTGTGTGTAGATTGGTGATATTACCTGTGAATTCACTTTAGGAGGGTAAAGGGGCTGTTATAAATGTTATTTTAAAAGGGTGTTAGGTCTCAGAAGACAGAGAATTACTGACCTAGTTCATGCACCCATTTTACAGGTGGGGAAACTGAGACCAGGAGAGGGGAGACCAGGTCCAATTCATGCCCTTCTTCCCTGCTCCAGGAGACAGCTGCTAGTGGGCCCAGGCAGGTGTACGCTCAGACCCTGCCCAGCAGGCCTGTTTTCTCACCCTCCAGATGGAGACAGGAACGAGACCTGTGTGTCCAGTGCGCAGCAGAGTCTGGCACACAGTGGGTGTGGAGAAGGGCCATCAGGGCCTGGGATTCCCAGGCTCAGCCCTTTACCTGCCCACTGGGGACAGGATAGAAGGTGAGAGGAAAGGGAAAAGGGGCTCCCCTAATCCCCAAGGCTTGGCTTCAGGCATTTTTTTCCTGTGAACTCCCCCACCCCCTCTTCCCCTCTCCACTCCAGCCACACTGGTCTTCACTGTGTTCCATGAGCCTTTCAGCAGGTCCCTTGCCCCAGGGCCTTTGCACTTGCTAGTCACTCCATTCCAGCCTCACCTGCACTAGCCCCTTAGCCACCTGCCTCCTCTGATCTGCCTGAAAGTCTATTCCATGAGCTTGTTCTGACCATGAGGCTCCCGTACTTGCTGTTCCCACCACCTCAAACACCTACCCCAGCAGGGCCAGGTCCTTCCCGTCACACCCCAGCAGAGTCATCCAACACTGTCTCATCACCATCTTTAATTCTGTCTTGGCATTTACCACCATCTGTTCCTTGTCTGGTGCCTTTCTCACGAGCACCCCAGGAGCAGGGAAGTGCCTGTTAGGGCAGCCAGAGTCCCCAGCACTTGGAACAGTTCATGAATGGATGTGGAAACTAGTGAGCGCCTTGCCCTTGGAGCCTTCCACAGGGCAGGGACACCAGCCTCACCCCAGGCCCCAGCTCCAATCCAAAGCCATTCATTGCTGAGCCTCAGTCTCTCCAGCAGAAAATGGGGCTAATGACTTCTCTCTACTTCTCTCAGGGCTGTCACATGGAGAAAGCAAAAAGGAAGACACTGGGACATCCAAAGTTGTCCAAAGATAGGCCTGAAGACACCTTGTACGATCTCTCACCTTGGTCAGATGATATGAACAGGGCGGGGCATAAGGGGAGAGTTTAAATGCTGGACTCCCAGGGTCCACAGCCCCCGGCCCAGCCTTCTGCCTCCAGGAATCTGTCCTGAAAGAAACAGTTTGGAAGGAGGGTAAAGATGCCACTGTTACGCTCATCTGTCATTCGGGGGAAAAGCAGCAGCCACACTTGGATCTCATGGTCTCATTAGTCATCAGCATGTGCCTCTGGATGTCTGGTATTATTTTTTTCCTGCGTATACTTTCCTGTACTCTCTAAATGCCAGGTCCTGCGGAGCCCCTTCCTGTCCCCCCTTCCCGCCACCCCCATAGGGACACAGGTCACAGCCTCAAGAAGCCAGCCGCATACGCATGGGTTAATATTAGCAATGTTTTATTTCAACATTTTTTCTGCTCATAAATGACTCTGAAAAAGCCGATATGCAAAAGGCTAACCATTGCTACCTAAAGGCAATGTCGAGGCCACTGAGAACGCGCCTCGGACAAGAGGCTCTGCTCAAAATCGCCCCCACACTGGGGTGCAGGAAGCAGCAGGCGGGGTGGGTCCGGGACAGAGGAAAAAATAAACATTAGCTTTGTCTTACCTCTGCCATCAGGGCTGGAGGCCCAGGACCCTGAGCGGTCAACCCAACCACTGAGCTGACTGCTTGGAATTCCCGAGGCTGCCAAATGTTTGGGCGTGTTGGGGAAATGTGGAGATTTCTGGAAGGCTCAGGTGCCAGCCAGAGGGGCCCTCAGCCGGGCCCTCCTCCCTGGGCCCTGGGGGGGGGACAGCCTGCCATCCCCAGCAGTCCCTGTCAAGAGGACTTTTGAGTAGTACCTGTCATGTATTGTCAGGTGCTGAGGCCTGGCCTGGCCGAGGCAGGAAGTGAGGGGCGCAGGCGAGGGTCCCAGGGTGGTGGCAGGGGACTGCCTGGCACCTCAGCTCTGGACTGCCCGCATATTTCCATTTGTCTCCGGACTGTGGTCTGCTCTGGAAGGGGCGAGTGGAACCCGGTGCTGGCGGCCTTGGCCCAGTAGTGTGGGGAGTGTGGAGACGAGGGAAGGGCAGGACCCGGGGCCGGGCGCCACTGGCAAGAGCCAGTGGGGGTCAGGCAGGAACCTGTCCTGAAGGTGGCCATGGCTGCCCACTGTAACCGAACCCTGTTCCCAAGGGGGCCCCTTGAGGGCCAGCCCACAGGGTGACCACCCAGTCATGGGCAGGCCAGGCTGAGTCTGGGGCCATAGTGTGAGACTTGGGGGAAGTGACCTTAAAGATGGCAGGGAGGTGGGTGCGGACAGGGAAGGTGAGGCAGGGCGGGCAGGCGCGGCCAGAGCCCCGCCATCAGAAGGAGAAGCAGCGCTCCTTGGGGTGGCCCACGCGGTCCAGGTTGGGCAGGCAGGCGTACTGGATCATGGGCGGGGGGCCGCACATCAGGATCAGCGGCTCCTCCTCCGGGGGCGGCAGGTGGTCCCGGATCATCTCCTCGTTCACAAAGCCCTCGCTGTAGTCCCAGGCTGCGGGCGGGAGACGGGGTGAGCCCAAGGGCGCCCCGGGCCTGACCGACAACTGCCCGCCTGGCCCCCGCCC